TCCTTGTTAGCGAGTTGTTGAAATCGGAGTTAGTAAATTTTGACCCAAATACTGGAATCCGATAAGCTTCCAACATATCGGATAGCTTTAGCCCACAATATCGCGCTGCTTCCTGTAAAATATAAATTTATTTCAATGTATATTTGGAAGCACAATAAATTCTCTAAATTATTTTACTAGTTTTAGCTTCCAGCTTTGTTTATCTTATTTTGTTTAGATAATGGACATACTAATACTGACTTAGTTGAGAGAACCACAACTATTTAGAAGTTTTTGGCTAAATATAAGGTTTCCAAATTATCCTACTCCGAGTAATAATGATGGTCGTAGCGTTAAATTTATTCGTTATTATCAATCATTATTCATGAGCTAAGGCTTTCATAGAACTGATTTCCCAAAGGTGTAGGCTTCAAAGTTTTTATTGGACTGTTATTACGTAGCTATTTTTGGAAAATTATTTTAATAGGGAAAATAAGTTTTTACCGGATGTACTTTAACACTTATGGGTGGAATAAAAAAATACATTTATGAGTGCAGCAATTGACGTGATGATCTAAGGGAGTTTAAGAAACACACAACTAAACTATGGAACAACTGTTGTGCGATTGTAGTTTGTTTCGCAGTCAATTCAACTGTTTAGTTGCACTACTAACTATCGAGTAGTATACTCCATATAACCTCATAAGAATCAAAGCACGACTAAACAGTTATGCGAAAGTTTAGTCAAAAATAATCTAAAAGTTAGGAAAAATACATTGTCATCCTTAAACTGAAACAGGATAACATATTTTGATATATTCAAGTTCTTATGGTTCTAAATGGTAAGAGACATTTCGATGCTGTCATCGCTCAGCAGGTAGCAATAACTGTTAGCTGTAGGTAGCGTGTTCAATACACGCGATTGACATGTTTACCTCAGAGTGCGCAGTTGTCGGAAACATTTATAAATCTTCACACTTCAATAAACAGATGACGTAATACTAAGATGTTGCGTAGTTAAAGGGCGTTAGGTTTTTTATAGTGCGTCATGGTTCGAATCTCAGATATCAAATGCATTGCTGTTAATGAATTCAAAAAATTGAAGATTTGTAAATGCCAATATTGTATTCGATTCATCATCATCTCTTCTGCCTTATCCTACTCCCGTAGGGTCGGCGCACCGGGTTTTCGTCCTCCAGATTACTCTATCATCCGTCATCTCAGTCATCACTCCCTTTTTGAATTAATATATCAAATAGAGGTAGGAAATATTAAGTTCTATTGTATTCTGGAAATAAATTTCTCTGACATAATTGCATTGTTTACACGTCATGTCACGAAACACAACAAGGAATCTTCATAGACGATATTAAAACTGTGGAATTATAAAAACATGGACATTCATAACTTTTTTGCTACAAAATACCATATTATGCGTTTTAATGCATTACAATTATCAATAATTTAAGTAACTACGTATTAGTAGATAAGTACTAAAGGTGAGTACAATGGGTGGGTGTCCAGAACACATTGTCCGGCCAATGTTTACACTAGACCGTTTACGTTTGCGTTAAATGTACAAGAACACGTGGCCGTGTTTATTCTGCGTGTTTATTCGCCAAGAGTAGGGTCACCATCATGTCATTCGAGACTTGTCTAAATTTATTAAACCCATATTAGCTGTTGGGATTTCAATTTAAAATAATTTAAAAACGATTTAGAATGTTTTTTATTACTAAAATGAGTAATAAATTATTATTACTAAGATGAAAACTCAATTACTATAAAGAAACGTGTTATGGAACGGTCTTTCCTCTGTTTTTCCGTATTAGAACAACTTAGGTTCCGTCAAAAAACGAGATATGTCCATGAAAGTAAGGAAATTATGGTCACACTGACTAACACAAATATGGTAGTCAAGATCAGTGGCTGTGTGTTTGTTTTGTCAGCGGCGTCGTTATAAACGCAAGGATTAAGGTTTTCGTAGGACTCTTAGTAATTCAGTATTCGTATGCCTGAAAGGATTTAACTAGCGACTTAATGTAGACTGTGTTAACCTAAATACGAGTAACTTGTTTACTTATCAACATGAAACGGTTATGAGGTGCCTTATGTATATTTAGGTTTGTAGTGGGATTATTTTGGTCTTGTAAATAAATTGCTGTTTATGTTTTATATTTCACGTAAAACATGGATGAAAACAACGTAGGGTAAGTTAACTTAAATGTTCTATTCTAATATAATAATGGCTCAAATATGACAATTTGACCTTGCATTAGTTACGTTATCTTTCGATATTATTAGGTAAATGCTTTTGCTCGCGACTTATTTAAAAAAAAGATCTAGTAACTAAAATAAACCTATGTTACTGAATGTCTAATAGTAATGTTTTTAAATGACCGTAGTTACTGTACAAAAATACAAATATTTCTTCATACGTTTCACACTTTAATATTATAAATGTAAAAGTTTAGATGGATGGATGTTTGTTAGAGTTTGTAGCCTAAACTGCTGAACGGATCTCGATGAAATTTGGCATAGATGTAGAGGACAGTCTGGAAGAACACATAGGCTACTTGGTTTTGTTTTTTTTCAATACCACGCGGATAGAGTCGCATGTAAGTGTGTAAGTGTAAGCTAGTATAAAATAAATCAGAGACAAAAGCCATAATTAGGCTTAAAATCAATCACCATTCATGTGAATCACAAATCAGTCGTGTGCGTTAAACTATTCATGTATAATCTCTATAATAAGATTAAATAATTTATTAAATTCTATCTATGGGTAACCGAGCCCTATGACCCGTGGCGATGTACAAAGGATCGCTGGAAATAAACTAGACACGCACTGACCCAAGTGATTAGTGTAATGCGCCATAACATCGCTATGGATATATTTATAGACTAGCTGTTCCCGTGCGGGTTCATCCGCATGAAATTATAAAAAAATATTGTTTACAGTTGTCAAATTCTCAATTAGAAATGTCAAAAACCATTATAACCTTGCTTCCTTAATGTTGGCAGCTAGTTTATGGTCCCTTTTCTACATAAAGGTTTTGTTTATGATTTATTTACTCTCTAAGTTAAATAGCGTGAAAATATGTAGCCTAAAGCGAGTCGTAAGTGTAGGGCTTTTTATTAAAGAAGGAATTATTCAAAAATATGCTGTAATTGCTGACATCTTAGGCAACATAGAAGTGTGTGTTTACGCTTTATTATATTAGTATAGATATGAACTATATCGTATCATTTTCCTGCCAGGGCGGGAGAAGGGGGGATAACTTAATGACTAAATGAAAAAATTAATATATAAAAACTACATTGAATAACCATATTCATGGTTGCCCCCTAGACCTAGTCTTTATTCTTGGTTGGCGGCGTAGATGCCTATGCTTCCTGCCTTTTCTCCCTAAAGATTCGGCACTGGAACTCTTTCATACGTCATATCGTTCACCTTCTACGCATATCCTCTTTAAACAATCTTTATTCGTTCTTAAAATAGCCTATAAGAAACATGTAATAATCAATGCAATTTCTATCAAGGAAAACGTTTTTTTAATAGTGTTATTATATACGTATTAAAACCCAGTAATAAGGTCAGGTGACGTCGATGTATAATTTGATGAGATATCTCATTATTGAGTTAAGTCAACCAAAACCGGTAAGAACGGAAATAAATTTTTATCGTAAATAACAAACATGTTATGTTTCAACAGAAACATTTAATATCTCGACCAGACTTAAACCAATCAAGGCAATCAACAAAACACTGGTGTCAATAGACATAGCTGCAGTGTTCGGGTAGATCACGTTTGGGCGTCCAGGGCAGAAACGGGATCACATGGGACGTTGCAAAAATCTCATCCAGGGCTAAAGCAGGTACTGCTTACTGCGTAACAAACCGCGAGTTCGGTTTCACCATTCGATTTAATTCGATTCGTAGATTCGATTCAGTGTAAGATAAAAAGCATCGAACTTCAATAATTTTATTCCAAAACAAGGAATAACGTTGGTGTTTTGTTTATTTACCTTGTGCATAAACTTCTAAGTTAGCCTTAGGATTTATGCGTTTTGCGTTTAAATCACTTGCTATATAAATACACCGTGAGTTTTAATATACTTGAGTTAACGTTAGAGATAGAAGAGCTACCTATTCTATACCACCAATTTAAAAGATAATAATGTGATAGTGAGGAATTTAACACCAGTATCCCAAAGATTACATTGTTGTACTGCTTATATGGATACTGGTTAGTATTGTTTGTTTTTGTCACTTGCCAATGATAGTATCGTTACTCGAGTGTCCGATAAGAATGGACTATGGTCATTCAGATGCCAAAACAACGTCTATACGAATATCGTTAAATAAATATCGTTTTATATTCTCGTATTATATAATATGTCACTTCCGCATATCGACGAGAAATCACTATTATTATGTCGAATAACACGCGAATAAACAAAGCGGGCGAAGCGATAAGTTGCAGTGGATGTTATTAATTTCCTTACTCATTTTTATAAATAGTAAACCGGATAAATGTTTACATTATAATGCTGCGTGGAATAACACTTAAATAACTAAATGTATTTTTATAGTTTCACGTTGCATTGTATGCTTTGAAAGTTTAAAAGTAAAAAAAAGTTATCAAACACGTGTATTTAGATGTGAAATTGTAAGCATATTGTTATGTATTTTATATTTACGATCGCATAAACTCTTAAATGAAGTATTGCTTCCTCATGACAGACTATACATTTAGTTGTAAACAACAGTGTTGTGTTCTCAACCGTGCTTTAGAAACAAAGAAAATAGTTCAAATTGAATGGAATTTTAAGTGCACCATTACTCAAGACATCGACTGTGCGATCGTTAAACCATTCCATTACCAGACAGCTATAAAACGGAATGATCCACGCCCGGTGTACAACAGCAAACAGCCGAACAAACAAATCCTGTATGGATTCAAACTATCGCAACGAATTGACAGAACGTGACGGATTAAAGATAATCGTTTACTAACCTTAGCTGTAAGTTAACTTTGATCCTGTGAAAATCACTCGGAACTCGGAACAAACTGTTTTTTTAACTATAGAATTCGAAAAACAAAATTTGAAGTGTATAATAATTGACAATTTGACAGTTGATTACACGCACAGATAATGTTATTCCCGCGCTAGGGAAGGGACGCGACCACGCGACGCGTTCTCGCGGACTGTGGAAAACTGGAAATCCGATGTGAAGCAGTGAACAGGTGACGCTGGCGTCGCCACGCGTGCGCGCTCGCTGTGCCCCCGCCACACCGCCGCCGCGCACCAAGGTCGTGCGCGGGAATAAGATGTCTGTTCTCTGTAATAAATGACCAATAAGAATTACCTGCTTACATGTCCCATCTTATAATATTCTTAATTTCATAACAAAGATTTTTAAAAAATATTGAAAGTATGTAACGACTATGACATGTAAAAAAAAACAGTACTAAGTACACACCGTTTCTTGTATTCAAAAAAAAATGTAAGCTTGCAATTTAAAATTTTATTCATTTGTAAGGAATTGTTTTAAAAATAAATTAGAAGACGCAAAAATGTATAACTATAAAATTTATTATAGGCAACTATAATTTTTACAAATGACAAAGTAAGTAGAAAAAATACTTTTAACAAATTGGTCAAACCAAAAAGTCAACATGTCGTAACAGAAAAGACAAATCAGTACATAACTTGGTTAAAAAATCTATTATACAAAATATTCCAACAAGTTAAACCATCGCACTTTTATTTTCACGCCACTATCAAAGTATAATTCATTAACTAAGTAGGCGATAGGTACATAAGTTAAATAAACAAAGGTTTAATAACTCATTGATAAACAGTTGAAATAACGATAATAAATAACAAAAGCTAAAAGAAATCTTCATGTCAATTCGCCTTTAGAATAGCATCAGCCGCCATAGCTGGCTTTTCCGAAAAAAAAAGAGCAATGTTTTGTTAACCGTATGCCCCTATACCGGATTATATTGAGAATAATTCTATAATCAGCTGTTTAATTTTAAAGGCAGACGAAGTTATAAATATAAAAATATTTCGACAAATAAAATTAAATAGAAAAATGAAGAGATTAAAAAACCTTAATTTAAATAATTTCGTAATGTAGACATAGCTAGATTTCATCCTACAATATGACAAAAAATTAAAATAAAAGTGTCGTATTTCAAAATAAGGAAAACAAAACTGTTTTCATATCAATGCAGTGTGCAAAAC